CGATAAGCTTGATGCCAGAGATCGAAGCTACGAATCTCTAGTCGTGGCGGGAATTCTTGTACGAAAAGGAAAAACTATTCTCGGTCTCTAGTATATTTTTGGAGATGGTGTGAAATCGTAACGAGCTAGCTGGATAGACCTCATGGTAAACGGGCGAGCTGTCATGCGAAAATTGCTGTAATCACGGCAAAGTTACCGGAACAACGTTAATTGTTTGCTCCAGGGGGGCAGCGCAGAAGGAAGATTACCACCGCGGCGCGTGTAGTTTGCCGCGACCGCCACATGACGACGAACGTGACACATACTGATAAACGAAGCTAATTACGACAGTCAAATTAGCCCGCCTGAACAGCCGTACCCGCCGCGCTGATTCGCCGATCATGTGTGATCGATCAACGTACGCGCCTATCATAATAACTAATATCCCTTGTTATTGCTCCCTACGAGCTCCCATCCCGGTTTTCGTTCCCTGTGAACGTCCCAGTCGTTCACACTTCAGATTCGTGTACTTACATTATATCAGTATTTTACCTGCTTCTATCTCCAAAACACGATTACGCAGGCATAGAGAATTTTGCTGAATTAGTAATATACGTGTCTTAATTTATACATTATGTTGAAGAATTTTCATAAAATGCTTGTAGGTGTAAAATCATCATTGTGATCTTATTATCATATAAAGAGAAAACATTCATTTACATATGCGATAGTGAATGCTAGTAATTTACGAAATTTCTTAAGAAAATGGTCCAAGATATAATCCTTCCTTAAATAACGTTCACGTCGTGGAATTTCAATAGGAATATCTGGGTCTAAATAGGATCAGGGTTTCTCTTCTTTTTAAATAACGATAAACCCGTACAGTACTCGGTATCTCCAGGTATAAATCGGGGGGAGAGGCTTTCGCATCGTCTGAAAGAACTCGATCAGCTTTGATCGCTAGACGTTCAGTCTAAGGAAGAGCATCAGTTTTTTATGCGATGGTTCATTCTCCATCTCTCTCTCACTCAGGTGGCAAGGTTTCCCTCCCAATCCCGTTTCTGTATAGATTTTCACCTTTGTGGAAAGTGTCGCGTACTCGACAGCGCGAGGCCATTGCTTTTCTATCTGTACGAAGAAGTACACTTGCTCCATATTTGCACTCGATCTTTAAGTGCCTGTCCTTAACTTTGTCTTATATTTACCTGCTACTACTTAAATCTGTAGGTACGTAGTCCTTCAACGTAACATAAGTTCGTCCATGTACAGTGAACTCTTAATTCATGGGACATGTACGAATTCAATAATTGAGAACAAATGCAAATTAGCCCTAAACCTAATAGCTAACGAATAATTTCACTTTATTACTTGAAAATTTTCTTCACGTACGATCTCGTACAGTCTGCAGGTTCCAGTAAAGCTGATCTTTCTTATTTTGCGTGTTTGCTTCAGGTTTGTATATGATACCGCATATCGCGTCATGTAAAACTAAATCATGGCTTTTAAACTTTAACGGAGATTAAACTACCTGCGAGGCCTCCTTTAAGCTGAGCTTAGACTTTAAGCTTCGCCGGAGAACA